GAAAATGTATTAGTCATATATGTACTTGTATTATTTTTTGCGTAATTATTTGTATAATAATTAGAATTTGCTAGAAAATGCATTAAAGGCTGATATTGAATTATTGATTTAACTTTATTTCTTTTCCATTTTTCTCTAAAAATACTAATATTTATTCATATACTTCTTTTGTATGTCAAACTATGGGAAGCAAATATGGATATCTTTCAAAGCAAACTTGGATCAAAGTTCAATTATAAAAATATTTGCTTAATTGATTCATGTACGACACATACAATATTCAAAGAGAAGAAATATTTCTCTCATTTAAGTATGTGTAAGGCAGATATTACTACAATTTCTGGTAGTAGTAATCTAATTGAAGGCTCTGAAAGAGCTACTATAACTCTGCCTATGGGAACAATAATTATCATAGAGAATGCAATGTTCTCCTCCAAGTCCAAGAGGAACTTGTTGAGTTTTAAAGATATCCGCAGAAATGGATTTCATATTGAGACAATAGATGAGAATAATATCTCATCGTTACCAAGAATGTCTCTAGCCAGAAAAGAATTATTGAGAAGTTCTCATCTTTATCTTGTGGCCTGTATTGGACAAAAATTAGTGCAATTGAGGCACATTCTACCTTAAAAAGGTTACTGCTTCCAATACTTTGGTACTTTGGCATGATCGATTGGGCCATCCTGGATCAATTATGATGAGACGAATCATAGAAAACTCAAATGGGCATCCATTAAAAAATTTGAAAATTCTTTTAAATAATGAATTTTCTTGCACTTCTTGTTATCAAGGCAAGTTAATTATAAGATCATCACCAACAAAGGTTGGGATTGAGTCCCCTGCGTTTTTAGAATGTATACAAGGGGACATTTGTGGACCTATTCACCCACCTAGTGGGTCGTTTAGATATTTTATGGTCTTAATAGATGCATCTTCTAGATGGTCTCATGTATGCCTATTGTCATCTCGCAACCTCGCGTTTGCAAAATTAATGGCACAAATAATCCGATTACGGGCACAATTTCCCGATAATCCAATTAAGTCTATTAGACTTGATAATGCTGCTGAGTTTTCATCTCAAGCATTTAATGATTATTGCCTATCAATTGGGATAAAAGTGTAACATCTTGTAGCTCATGTTCACACTCAAAATGGCCTTGCAGAGTCTTTAATTAAACGTCTGCAATTGATAGCAAGACCGTTACTCATGAAAACGAAGTTTCCCAGTTCTGTTTGGGGTCACGCCATTTTGCATGCAGCAATGCTAATTCGTCTCAGACTGACAAATTATCACAAATATTCCCCGTTGCAATTATTTTTGGGTCATGAACCTAATATATCTCATCTAAGAATTTTTGGATGCGGTGTATATGTGCCTGTAGCACCCTTCGCACCAAGATGGGTCCCAAAAGAAGGTTAGGAATATATGTTGGGTTTGAATCGCCCTCCATTATTCGCTACCTTGAAACATTAACGGGAGATTTGTTCACTGCTCGTTTTGCAGATTGTCGATTCGACGAGGCATTTTTCCCAAAATTAGGGGGGAGAAATTAGTGAAACCAAACGTGAAATTTTGTGGAAAAATACATCATTGTCTCATCTTGATCCACGTGCCTCTATTTGTGACACAGATGTGCAAAAAAATATCCATTTGCAGAAAATAGCAAATCAAATGCCAGATGCATTTACGGATCTGAAAAGGATAACAAAATCATATATCCCTGCAGAGAATGTTCCAATTCGTATTGATGTCCCTATTGGACAATCTTCTAGTGTCATAGATAATGAGTCAAAAGCACGCCTAAAAGGTGGCAGACCATTAGGTTCTAAAGATCGAAATCCTAGAAAAAGGAAAACAAATGATCAAGATGACACTACGAAAGAGTCTCATAATGAAATTCACGATTTAACCAATCCTGAGATTCATGAGGAAATCAATGAGCCTGAGACTCAAGAAAATAAGGAACTATCAATAAATCCAATCGATATTGAGGCAAATTTGAATCGAATGGATATAAAGGTGGATTACATCTTTGCATATAATGTTGCATCTAGCATTATGCAAGAAAGTGAGGATCTTGAACCTCAATCTGTTGGAGAATGTCGACAAAGACTTGATTGGCCAAAATGGCAAGAAGCAATCCAATTAGAGTTAAGTTCACTTGCAAAACGTGAAGTTTTTGGGCCTGTAGTCCAAACACCTAATGGTGTTAAGCCTGTTGGCTATAAATGGGTCTTTGTACGCAAAAGGAATGAGAAAAATGAGGTACAAAGATATAAGGCACGCCTTGTTGCACAAGGATTTTCACAAAGGCATGGTGTCGATTATGAAGAGACATATTCTCCTGTTGTGGATGCTATAACATTCCGTTATCTCATTAGTTTTGTTGTCTATGAAAAGCTTGACATGTATTTAATGGATGTAGTTACAGCCTACCTTTACGGCTCACTTGATAATGAGATATACATGAAAATTCCCGAGGGATTTAAAATGCCTAACACATAGAATTCAAAGTCCCGGGAAATATTTTCAATCAAATTGCAAAGATCTTTGTATGGTCTAAAGCAATCAGGAAGAATGTGGTATAACCGTCTTAGTGAGTATTTATTAAATGAGGGTTATATAAATGATGCCATTTGTCCATGTGTTTTATAAAAAAAAACAACATCAGCATTTATTGTACTTGCTGTATATGTCGATGACATAAACCTTATTGGAACACCTACAGAACTCCAAAAGGCAATTGATTATTTAAAGAAGGAATTCAAGATGAAAGATCTCGGAAAGACAAAATTATGTCTCGGTTTGCAAATTGAACATTTGACAAATGAGATTTTTGTTCATCAACCTACCTACATTAAAAAGGTATTGAAACGATTTTACATGGATGGAGCATATCCATTAAGTGCTCACATGATTGTTCGATCACTTGATGTGAATAAGGACCCGTTTCGACCTCAAGAAAAGAATGAAGAGCTTCTTGGTCCTGAAGTACCATATCTTAGTGCAATTGGTGCACTAATGTATCTTGTTAACACTACACGACCTGCCATAACTTTTTCGGTTAATGTCTTAACAAGATATAGCTCTGCTCCTACAAGGAAACACTGGAATGGGATCAAACACATATTGCGATATCTAAAAGGGACTACCGATATGGGCTTATTTTATGGAAATGATTGCAATCCCGATCTTGTTGGTTATGTCGATGCTAGGTATTTATCTGACCCGCATAAGGCTCGATCTCAAACAGGTTATGTGTTTACATGTGGCGGCACTACCATATCTTGGCGATCGACTAAGCAATCAATCGTGGCTACTTCTTCTAATCATGCTGAGATAATTGCTATTCATGAAGCAAGTCGAGAATGTATTTGGTTGAGGTCTATAATACATCTTATCCGAGACAAATGTGGTTTGAAGTGTGAAAAACTACCCACAATTTTGTATGAAGACAATGCAGCATGCATAGCCCAATTGAAGGGAGGATTCATAAAAGGAGATAGGACAAAGCACATTTTACCAAAGTTATTTTTTACACATGATCTTCAAAAGAATGGTGATATCAATGTGCAACAGATTCGTTCAAGTGATAATATGGCTGATTTGTTCACCAAATCTCTACCAACATCAGTCTTCAAGAAACTGGTGTACAAAATTGGGATGCGAAGGTTCAAGGATGTAAGTTGATGCTCTCATCAGGGGGAGTTAATACGCATTGTACTCTTTTTCCCTTACAAGGTTTTGTCCCACTGAGTTTTCCTTGCAAGGTTTTTAACGGGGCAATAAAAAGGCGTATTTCTAATCATGTGTACTCTTTTTCCTTCACTAGAATTTTTTTCCCATAGGGTTTTTTCCTAGTAAGGTTTTAACGAGGCACATTATCTTTGGACATCCAAGGGGGAGTGTTATGATAAATATCACATTATGGTGGATGTCTACTCTTCTTCCATGATCTTCATCTCAAATGCTTAATGACATATTCAATGACATATTTTGTATGTTCAATGACATATTCCATAACATATTTTCTTCACTTTTTATGCATATATAAAGACCTTGTAATAGATAGGAAAATACACATAATTGAAGAAGAAATAAGAATCTCTCTTCCTCTCTTTCTCTCTATATCTCTTAGTTTATTTTTGCTTGTTCTATATTGTTATTTTGGATTATATTTTATAACAAATTTAACGTAAATTGAAACTAATAAAACTCCACACTCAAAGAGGGGAAAGAAAAGGAAAGAGATGGGATCGTGACGCTAGATACAAACAGAAAATCCAATTGCTACATGCCAACCAAAATTTTAAAAATAGTGAAAGCATCACCATATAATACAGGGAGTTTGGAAGATACCACAATTAAAAATTCAATAAACGTACTTGTTAATTCTAAAGTTAAATCATCTACCCAACCCTTTGCATTGAGTTAGTCAAGTCGACGCGTTAGGAGACCTGGACAATGTTAAAGGGTATCGTACACAGTAAATGACTCAATTACCCATTGGTATTTTCAACAATTTGAACTAACATAAAGGTAATCAACAAATAATACTCGCTCCGTTTTAAATTAGATGAGATATTTTCCTTTTGAGTCTGTTCCAAAATAAATGACACATTTTTATATTTGAAAATAATTCAACTTTAAATTCTTTATTTTATCTATTTTATCCTTAATGGGAAACTTTTATAACCACACAAATATCATGACCCCACAAAACTTTTATTTCTTAAGCTTTTAAGATCATAAATTTCAAAAGTCTTTTTTTTTTCTTAAACTCCTTGCCGAATCAAACTAACTCATCTAAATTGAAACAAGGGAGTAATAAATTCAGGATAGTGTAATCTTATTGAGAAACTATTATCTCTAGCTGAAAAAAATGATAAAAGAGCATAATAGCAAGAAAGCAAAACATAAGGGTAATCATGTCCAATAAAAAGAATATGCTGTAGTGTGGGAAAGCTTTATATAGAGCCAGCAAAAAGTGGGGGCAGAAGAAGAAAAGAAAACGGCTTTCTTTGTATAAACATAACATATTCTTTACAACTGCTACCCATTAACAAGTTAGGCAAACCCTTCACCACAAACTGCTCTCTGGCAATTTTGTCGCCCAACAAATCATTTCAATATATACATATTTTGCCAACTTTAAGGGTCTGAAAAATCTGGGTTTGTTTGTCTTGAAATATCTTTATATTATTTTACACCCACCTAGGGGGAAATATCCAATTGTTTTGATTTGGAGTTTGATCTGTAAAATCAAGAAGGTTATATAAGCGCAGAAATAGACTTAAAGAGAAAGATGTGGGGTATTTCTAAATGTTGTGACAAAATTTACACGGTTGCAGAAGGGGGATCTGGTTATTGTTCCAAGAAGAAGGATGATTTGTGTAATGAGGTTAGATTTCTTCTTTTGACTTATTTTGAATTCATACATGTCTCTAGCCATTTGATTTCAGGTTCTTCTGTTGTTATATTCTTTTTCTTTTTAGATTTTTAATTTCTGAGGTCACATTCTTGGTAGAGTTTTACTTTGTAATTATATTAGACAGGAAGGCGTAAATTTCAAGTATTGGGGTTTATATTCTTGGGACCCTGATAAAAATTAGCATCTTTAATAAATTTTTGTTGAAACAGAAAGCTAATTGACGTGTGATCTGATTATAGTTTTTATGTCCTGTAGCCTTTTCTAGTTTTGCTTTTCTGTTTTCTTTTCATATTTTTTTATATGAATGAACATATTTTTCTATTAATTTCAAAGGAAATAAAGGGTTTGTTGGAAGAGGGTGCTTTCCATGGATTGTTTACTTGTATTTTAATGGAAAGTGGCACAGCACCAAGTACTATTCCTCTTTTGGCTGAAGCATGTTCGTCGTTTAAGCACATATTTGATGTTATTGATCTTGAAAGTGGAATGACAAAAAGTTCACTGAAAACGGCTAAAAATCCCTTAGAGATTTTATTTTGCTTTCGGATTTGAGGCCTTCGCTTGCTTGTACTCGATATTTGATATTCATTCTCTGAAGTGTATAGTTGAAGTTTTGTGGCATACTGTAATAATGCATGTAGATACATATTGTGTATACGTTTTCTGAGTATAAAATGCTGTTCTTATTTTATACCTAACAAAAGATTCTGTTGAATGCAGGAAACTGGACAAGCCTTGAGCATGTCGAGACTAAAATGTATTTTGCGTGGCTTGGATCTTAAAACATATATCTTTCTCTTTGTGTTGATACCAACTTGTGTCTGGGGTATATACGTACATGGGCAGAAAATCACTTACTTTCTACGGCCTTTATGGGAAAAACCACCAAAGCCATTTAATGAAATGCCTCACTATTATCATGAGAATGTGTCAATGGAGAATCTCTGTAAACTTCATGGCTGGGGAATTCGTGAGTACCCGAGGCGTGTATTTGATGCAGTGTTGTTCAATAATGAGGTTGACATGCTTACTATACGGTGGAAGGAGTTGTACCCTTATATTACAGAATTTGTTTTACTTGAATCGAATTCAACGTTCACTGGGTTGCCAAAGCCTTCTTACTTTGCTAATCACAGAGATCAGTTTGAATTCGTTGAGTCAAGATTGACGTATGGACAAATTCCTGGGAGATTTAGAAGAGGAGAGAACCCTTTTGTTGAGGAGGCTTATCAAAGGCTTGCATTGGATTATCTTCTAAAACAAGCAGGTATTCAGGATGATGACTTGTTGATAATGTCAGATGTCGATGAGATACCTAGTAGACATACAATCAATCTCTTGAGGTGGTGTGATGACATACCTTCAGTTCTTCATCTTCGGTTGAAGAATTATCTTTACTCCTTTGAGTTCCTTGTGGATAATGATAGCTGGAGAGCTTCTGTCCATCGCTACCAATCGGGTAAGACAAGATATGCTCATTACCGACAGTCAGACGTCATATTGGCAGACTCAGGGTGGCATTGTAGCTTTTGCTTCCGCCATGTAAGTGAATTTATTTTTAAAATGAAAGCCTACAGCCATTTTGACAGGGTCAGATTTTCGTATTTTCTCAACCCTAAGAGAGTACAAAAGGTTATCTGCAATGGGGATGATTTATTTGATATGCTACCAGAGGAGTATACATTCAGGGAAATCATTGGCAAAATGGGACCTATTCCCCACTCTTATTCAGCTGTTCACCTACCGGCTTATCTTTTGGAAAATGCAGAAAAGTATAAGTTTATGTTGCCGGGTAATTGCTTGAGAGAAAGTGGGTGATCGATCTAGCAGCGTTTATTATATTTACTTTTTGTGAATGTCAAGGGTGCAGTTCTGCAAATGACGATCCTGTGAAACGAAATGTTGGGATGAATACTCAGATTTGGGAAGTCAAAGATTTTTGTATATAGCTTCTGAGAGATCAAGCATGTCTATTGGACAAATGGGGAGATTTCTGTTGCAGAACTGCTATTAGTTTGAAACATGTGCATAACTCTGTATCCTGTAGTATATCAATTCCTGATTATGGAAAATTTTTGATCAGTACTAATTTATTCACATTTCTTCTGTTCCTTATTCCTTCTGACCTACTACTTTCATATCACCTAGCGTTTAGACCAGAAATATGTCCCTTTTGTTAATTGATTTGATTGATTAATTAACTAGCTTTCTAGTATATGCATCAAGTTGGTATTGTGATCTCAAACGGCGATTACTTCAGTATGTGGTGTGTTTACACTTCCATCCTCTTAGATTTAGATTTAGGGATGTTTCATGCTAAATGTTGACCGACTAAAATATTCTAAAAGTCTTACTCGACTTTTTTACTCTTAACTATTTATATTAATTTTGACAAAAACTTGTAAGGGAAGAACACAACTGCAAATAGACATGTTAGGGAGTAGAATTATGAATGGAATAAAAAAAAGTAAATACTAAAACTAAATATTCTAATCTTTCATCTAGCTAAACGGGGAACAAATGCATTAGAATTAAAGTAGTTAGCTCAATTGTACATGGTCAGGTATTTTCAAAGTATTAAAATTAAAATAATTACTACTTTACAAAATTGAAGAAGGTTTGTTAGTTTTTTGTTTTGAATTCCAAGACGCGAAACACGGTTTGATTAATTTTGTTTTCTTAAAGCATTTTGAGTTTGGTACTCGAAACTAACAAAGTTTTGTTATTCAAAGAATTTTTGTACATTTTATACTGTATTTTATTACAAATCCAATGTACTTAAATGGTTTTATATTTGATTTTATAGTTTTAGAAATATGATTATGGCCATTTTTTCAAGTTTCAGACATTAATACTTTTTAATTTTTTATTAATAAAATAACTATATTAATAATTATAAGCTAACAAAACTGTAGATCAATGGAAGGACTAAAGGATCATATTTACAACGGACGACCAAACCTAAACCACGGGGAAGAAATTCAAATTTGTAGGGATTCAGCTTAAATTATTTTTCACAAAGATAATTTTACGTTGAATAAAATCGTAATGCATTAGTACTCTCTAATATTTAATATTTTGAAGAAAACTAGCTGGATATTGAATTCTTTAAACTGACGCTCTAATTCAGACTAATTCCACACAATATCGTTAAACAATGGTAAATTATCCACTCAATGATTCAAATTGATTTGCACAAGGATTCATAAACTTAATGGAACTTTCGGTAGTAATGTTTGAACAAGATGTCTACTCACTTAATTACTTTTCAAAAACAAAAACTCAAATTTTGATTGATAGTTGACAATAAACGGATGTGTTTTCGATGATCAACCATTGAACGTGCTATTGTTGGCGGCTCTTCTGTTGACTCGAAAGATCATTCGGGTTACAAAGCAATATCCGATTAGAAGGGTGAACGACAGGTTGATGGTTATTAAGCTGGTTGTGGGAGGGTCTACTTTAAATGTGATTAGTGCTTACGCGCATCAAGTGGGTTTTGACGAGGAGATTAAGAGGCGCTTTTGGAAAGAATTTGACGGGTTGGTACATGGCATTCTGCTCACCCAGATGTTATTCACAGGAGGGGACTTCAATGGTCACATTGGGGCGACATCTAGGGAATATGACGGCGTGCATGGCGGCTTTGGCTTTGGAGTTAGAAACGGAGGAGGTACTTCGTTGTTGGACTGTTATAAAGCCTTTGATTTGGTAATTGCCAACTCGTGCTTTCCAAAAAGGGAGGAGCACTTGGTTACATTCCGGAGTTCGTTGGCCAAGACTCAAATTGATTATCTACTCCTCCGGAAGTGCAGTAGGAGTCTATGCATGGATTACAAGGTTATACAAAGCGAGAATCTCACGACTCAGCATAGATTATTAGTGATGGACTAAGAGATCGTGAGGAAGAGGAGGATAAGGGCTTGTATGGTTAACCCATGACTAAATGGGGTGCTTTGACTAGTGACAAAGCGCAAGAGTTGGGGGGAAGTTGTTGGCTATGGGAGCATGGAGGAGCAGTGGGGACGCGAGCTGTATGTGGACTACGACAGTGGAGTGTATTACACTAGTTGCAAGAGAAGTGTTAGAGGTCTCGAAGAGTTTCTCTAGCGGCCACAAAAGTGACTAGTGGTGGAGTGAGGAGGTACAGAGAAAGTGGAAACCAAGCAAGCTGCATACTTGATGCTTATAGAGAGCATGAATGAGGAAGCGAAGAGGATGAACATAGAGGAGCATAAGAGGGCTAAGAAGGAGGCGAGTTAGTGGTTACTGAGGCTAAGTCTACGGTGTTTAGGCATTTGTATGAAGAACTTGGGGCCAAAGGCGAGGATAAGAAGCTATACAGGCTAGCCAAGGTGTCACGACCCAAACCAATGGGCCATGACGAGTTCCCGAGTCCTACCCGTCGAACACCCCTAAGCATACATCTAAGATATAAAGAAGAAATAAGTGTAGGTCATACATAATGTCTGGCAATAAACTACTGAATCATGTGAATAACATATATGAGAAAGATATATATATACATATGTATACGGAATATGGTAGGGCGAAATGACAAATGCCACATACTATCCAACTATACATGACTGTCTACAAACCTCTAATAGAATGTACAACTGTATAAAGGATGGGACTAGGCCCTGTCATACCCATATATATATACAAAAGTATCATACCAAAACCCAATAGCGGCTCCAGATCAAATGGAGCAGGCCAACTCTCGTAGAGCAAGGATCCTAAAAAGGGGCACCGTCAGCCTGTCTACCTGCACCTGCGGGCATGAAACGCAGGCCCCAAGCAATAGAGGCGTCAGTACGAATAATCTACCGAGTATGTAAGGGATGAAAATCAGTACATAAAAGACATAAAAGAAATATGGAGTAAAAGACTCTACCTATAAGTCTAAATAGCTCTGTGAATCCTGAAACATTTATAATGTCATGCATGTGTGTATAAATGTCATATCATGTATAGGTATATGCATACATAGTATCATCAAGCCTCTAAGGGCATCCCATCATATCATCTCGTCCTCAATGGGCGAAATCATCAACATATACCAACTCATCAGGTGGTCGTGCGTACATAATACCGTAACCTTTTTCCATATCCCATATACATATAATATACGCGTATATAATGGCATCTGGTCATGGGTCAATGTACATGTATAAATGAATGCAATGCATAATGAAGTAAGTCAATAAGATCTCTCGGAATGTCATAAGATCAATATGCATTCGGATAAACTTTATCAACTTACGTATGATTCTAAGACTCATGAACAGACGATATAATAATAGGACACATGGGGAATCAAGAATATAGGCACCCTTAGTACTTTTATGAATAGAGACATTTATAAAAGTTGTGTGTTTGCGCGTTTCGTTTGTATCATGCCAAAAGGAAGAAAGGAATAGTGTTAACATATCTTACTTTCCTATGATGTAATCTCCAACTTGCTAAGATCTAGAGAAAACCGACGTTATAGTCGCGAAATTGTCGATGAGACAATCATGATTGATTCTTGTGTCAACCTCACCTTGAATATTCTCATAAAAATTTTCGGTATCATAAAATTTGTTCAAAGCTAAGAGTACCGTGAGAAGCTACAGATTCTTGTTATTTCTCCATTACAAAATGATAGAAAATGTCATATAATAACTAAGAGTCATTCTCTTATATTTGGCCCATTTAAAGATAAATGTTCATATTATGATAAGATCAAAACGTGTTGAAGTAAGGCATACATAGCGGCAATTACTATCTATCATGATGCAACATTTGTTTTTAATTCCTAAATACATGACACGTAGCCCCCCCCCCTCCCCCTCTAATTACATTACCCTACTATTATAACCAAGTGTTGTACATAAATTGGACATGCTGAAACATTTGAACCAAACATATGACCTTTTACCCACTATTATTAATAAATCATGGGTATTTATAAAATTAGGACATATAATAATATTTCAAAAACTATATTTTATCGAATTCTAATTTTTCCAACTTAATATATAAGTTGCATAATATTTGTACTATTGATTCTCAAAGCGGTAAAAAAATAACTTTCTTATGAAATGATAATTTCTATTCTTATAATAAGGAAAATCCCATTTATAAACTTCCTCATATCATTTGTTTAACTAAAACTTATCGAAAATAGTATATTAATAACTTTTGAAAATCATATTTATCCAATATGTACAAAAAGAATGTTTCTCTTAAAAGAAAGTACCATATTGAGGCAATATATAATATTTTCGAATTTCATCAAACTTACTGGGTCTTGAATCTATAACTTCACATATGACCATAATCCTCTCCAAACTCATATATGAAGTTCCTTCGACTCATCCTAACGCTAAATTACGGGATGTTACATCACTAAATTACTTTATATACTTTCAAAGAGGATCTCATTTCGATCATACTTTAATTGACTTACGACATACTTTTGCGCACGAAAATATGAGGTGTAACATCATCTCCCCTCCAACCCCCCCCCCTCCCCCCCGCGCGGAATATTTATCCTCGAATATTGACTGATGCACTTACTAGTCTCATAACCTACATCTCTTACGAATACTTTAATATTGTCCTTGTTATCTAGGCAATTGTTTTGTGAATAAATCCAAAAGCCAGGGCGTCCCCCTCTCCCTTTCAGGCCTCTAGAATGTTAAACTCCCAATGATTTATAGAAATTTCAGTAGAGTCTCCTCTGTAACTATACTACCTACTACCAACCTGTCACGTAGCAAACCAACTAATAAAAAAGCCACACAGGGCCACAACCACCAATAGAACCAATGGCCTTACAATTAATGGCAGTAACTAACACAAGAATCCAGTAACATATACACGCCTAAATGCTCTGAAGTTTCAGTCTGATCCTCATCTAGAAGCGGAAACAAGTAAGGATACCTAGACTTTATGTCTTTTTCAGCTTCCCAAGTCATCTCATCCACATTTTTGTTTCACCAAAATACTTTAACTGAAGCTACGTCCTTAGTTCTCAATCTTCAAACCTGTCTATCTAATATAGCAATGGGATCTTCCTCATATGATTGATGCTCTATAACCCAAACATCATTAGGTGGAACGACTCTAGAAGGATCTCTAATACATTTATGGAGCATATACACATGAAAGACTGGATGTGCAGACTCCAAGTTGGAAGGCAAGTCTAACTCATGCGCTACCTGGCCTGCTCTGGTGTGATCTTATAAGGTCCAATGTATCGATGGCTAAGCTTTCCTTTCTTACCGAATCTCATAACTCCTTTCATCAGAGATACCTTTAGGAATATCAATCGTTTACTTGAAACTCCAAATCTTATCGTCAATTATCTACATAGAACTTATAACGACTCTAAGCTGCTAATAGCCTTTTCTGTATAAGCTTAGTCTTCTCAATTGCCTGTTGTACCAATTCTGGTCCTACTAACTTAGTTTCCCCGACATCAAACCATCTAATAGGTGACCTACACTTCCATCTGTAAAGAGATTCGTATGGAGCCATCTGAATATTGGAATGATAGTTATTATTACACGCGAACTCAATAAGCGGCAAATGATTATCCCAGCTACCCTTGAAGTCTATCACACAAGCCTGTAACATATCCTCAAGTGTTTGAATAGTACGCTCAGCCAGACGATCTGTCTGGGGATAAAATATTATACTCAGACTTATTTGAGTCCTCAATCTTTCTGGAAGGACCTCCAAATATTAGCTGTAAACTGAGTGCCTCTATCTGTGATAATAGGTATAGGGACACCATGAATTCGTACTATCTCCTTAATGTAAAGTCTTGCATAATCCTCTACTAAATACGTAGTTCTAACAAGCAGAAAATGGGTTAATTTTGTAAGTCTACGCTAGATACAAGGTAAGCCTATGATGAAATCCATGTACTTCCCACTTCCAAGTTGGAATCTCTATAGCCTGTAATAATCCACTGGATTTTTGATGCTCAATCTTAACCTGCTGATAGTAGGGCATTAGGCAACAAACTCTGCTATATCCTTTTTTATTTCGTCCCACCAAAATATTTCCATGTTGCCATGATACATCTTTGTTGCTCCTGGATGGACAGAATAACGAGAATAGTTAGTCTCTCCTATAACCTGCCAGCGCATCCTTGCAACATTAGGGACACATAATCGTCCTCTATATAAGAGGACCCCATCTCCTATAATCTTGAATGGGGTATTCTCTTTTTGAGGAGATGTATCTCTATAATAAGCTAACACAGGATCCTCATATTGGCATTCCTTCACTTCAGTTACTAAAGAGTATGTTGTCGTATCATGAATACTAACTCCAGTATAACCCAAATCTAGTAATCGAACTCCAAGACTAGCTAGCTAATGAATCTCATAGGCTATACGACTCTTCTCTGGCTATAAATATGACTAGCTACATATAGATCTATGGCGAGGGCATCTGATACTACATTCGCCTTCCTTAGATGGTATAAAATATCAACGTCATAGTCTTTCAGTAGCTCCACCCATCTCCTCTGACGTAAATTCAATTCCTTTTTGTTGAAGATATACTAAAGGCTCTTATGATTCGTATAGATATCAACATGAATTCCATACAAATAGTGCCTCTACATCTTTAGTGCATAAATCACCGTAGCTAACTCTAAATCGTAGGTCGGGTAATTCTTCTCGTGTTTTTTTAGTTGTCTAGAAGCATAAGCTACAACCTTACCATGCTGCATCAATACATAACCCAATCCAATGCCCAAAGCATCACAATAGATAGCACAACCATCGATTCTATCTAGGAATGTTAGAATCGGTGTTGTAGTTAGTCTGTCTTTCAATGCCTGGAAACTCTGCTCACAAGCATCAGCCCACTGAAACTTAGCTCCCTTTTGAGATAACTTTGTCAATGGTGTTGAAAGAAAAGAAAATTCCTCTATATATCTCTTGTAATAACCTACCAAACTAAGAAAGCTACGAACCTCCATTGGTGCCATGGGTCTAGGCCAAGTCTTCACTGCCTCAATCTTTTGTGTATTAACCCGGATACCCTCACCTGAAATAATATGCTCAAGGAAAGCTACAGAATTCAACTCGAATTCACATTTAGAG